AATAAATTAAATATTAGATCCCCTTTATTAATAATTATTTACATACTTGAAATTTAAATAATACAGTTAACTCTAAAATGTCTACATGATTATTTTTATTATAACTATAATTATTATAGATAAAAAATAAAAACAAAGAGAAATAAATTAACTGAAATACCTCTTGAATGCGCTCTATTGGATCTTCAAAATAGGGAGATTTTAGGTGCTTTGTGGCAACCTGAGATTTTAGGTGCTTTGTGGCAACCTTTCGCACTACAATTGTCTCACAATATTCAAGAAATACAATAGGAGAGAGAGAGAAAAAGAGAGAAATTTCGAGCTCTAAGGAGTGCTGAACGAAATTTTTGGGGTCCTGTGCCTGAGATTTCTTATTTATAGGCATCAGACGTGGGCCGGAACGACCCGTTCTGGACTCGGAACGGCCCGTTCCGAATTTGAACGTTATGTAGCATTTTCATACCCTAGAGCGGCCCATTCTGAAATCAGAACGGCCCGTTCCGGGGAACCAGAATGGCCCGTTCTGAAGTGAGAACGGCTCGTTCCGGGGTACAAATTTTAGGCCCTTTGATTGGTTTAGAATAGCCCGTTCTGATCTGAGAATGGCCCGTTCCAAACTTGAGAACGGCCCGTTTCGATTTTGGAACGGCCCGTTCCGAGCCACTAAAAAAGTTAATTTAGGCTTTTGGGCCCTCTGATGTCCTATCTTGTTGCTTGTTTGCCCCCGGACGAAATTGGGTGTCTACAGCTGCCCCTCTTTACTTGTCCTTTGGAATAGCTGTGTTGCTTTTCCAAAGGAAAATAAAGACGTAGACATTTCGTCCGGGTCTTCTTCTCATCTCTGTGTTGATGCTTCTATGTTGCTTCCCTTGGACAAGTGTATTTGCTTGTATCCTCACCCTTTAGAGCAGTTGAGCATTGATTGCGTACTCTATTGGATAACAAGGTTGAAAAATTGTACACTTGATCTCCAGTCTTCGAGTAGAAGCTCCATTGTTTCTCTTATGATAGTGAGGTGGAGATTCGGTTCTTCAACCTGCTGATGTTGAGTATTGTTGTGTCGTCCTCCCCAGGCCGCTTGCTGATGTTGTGAATATTGTTGTGTCGGCCTCTCCAGGCCACCTGCTGATATTGTGAGTATTATTGTGCCGGCTTCTCCAGGTTGCCTGCTGACATTGTGAGTATTGTTGTGTCGGCCTCTCCAGGCCACCTGCTGATATTGTGAGTATTATTGTGCCGGCTTCTCCAGGTTGCCTGCTGACATTGTGAGTATTGTTGTGTCGGCCTCTCCAGGCCACCTGCTGATATTGTGAGTATTATTGTGCCGGCTTCTCCAGGTTGCCTGCTGACATTGTGAGTATTGTTGTGTCGGCCTCTCCAGGCCGCCTGCTGACATTGTAAGTATTGTTGTGCCAGCCTCTCCAGGCCGCTTGCTGATGATGATGATGTGATTGCCCCTTTTCTTTGTGAAGACGTTTGACGAAGACGAGGATTGCTGGTAGGTGGTGCCCTTGTGATGGTGGGCAAAGGAGTAAATGTTGAGTATTATTATGCCTGGCCTCTCCAGACTGCCTGCTGATGATGATGATGTGATTGCCCCTTTTCTTTGTGAAGACGTTTGACGAAGACGAGGATTGCTGGTAGGTGGTGCCCTTGTGATGGTGGGCAAAGGAGTAAATGTTGAGTATTTGATTCATTGATGATTGATTGTTTGATTTTTGATTGATGGTTGTGGA